GGGGGGGGGGGGGGGGGGGAGTGTCACATGACTCATCCACTCATGCACGTTTTCATACGCAACGCTGCAAGCAAACGCCTGCAGACAGACATCTGCAATGTAGAGGGCACCAGCCTGCAGCTTCAGTCTGCTCTCCTGTCCTTCAGTTCCTGCTGTCATTATCTTTTTCCCCTGTCTGCGCAGATGTAAAGCACCCCGTTACAAGGTTATCCTGTCACAACAGGGGAAAGCCAGACTGAGACCGGGGTTAGAGATTGTAATGGTCTTAAAAATCAGTATGTGGAGGGACGGTCGACACGGTACAGATCCATCCGTCTGGAACAGACTGAAATTTCACACAACTTATTGCCCCAAATGCCAAAAAAAAGCATCTGGCCCTATTTCTTATACCAGACACTAAACTGATTATATTTTAAGAGTGTTATTAACATTCCAGATCAAATCTTTCCCCAGGACACATACACCACTTTACAAATGTTACACTTTTCCTTCCGATGCTCCCGTAATGACATGAACGCGATCACTGGGGCTCTCAGCAGCGTAAGAGCCACACACACCAAGCACCACGGTCACCAAAGCCCCATAAACCCAGCCTTTGTCTCTTCTCACCATCAACGTGAGTGGCTTTTTAAAAGGGAAGACTGTTCCATTAGCGGGAACACATGTTCCGCAAATAAACACAAACAAAATTGTCCATCGAAACCAATTTATTTGTCAATACTTAAGACAAATCCATGAAATTAATTTGTCATTTCTTATTTTGTACATAAATATATAGATTATCTAATTAAAATCCATTATCTAATTAGCTAATCTTTACAGTAGCTCCCCCCCCCCCCCAAATGGCCAGTATGGTCCGGCCCCAGCTCCCACATTATCGTGACAGACAGTGGTTTATGCCGACACCAGGGCTGAGATGGGCCGGGTCAGGTAGCAGTTCAGGTACATGTGGTTCTGGGAGGCCATTCTCTCCTACTCGGCACCCCCTTCTGTGGAGCCTAGCAGGAACACCGCGCCTACAAAGGCACGTCTGTGCAGAGCACCTCAGGGACGCTCGGCAGGGGTCAAAAAACTGAAGGCAAAAGTGAAACTTCTTGGCAATGCGGCAGGCCTCCACAGAGACATGGGCAGAGAGCCTCTGCCTCGGATCTGAGGCTGCAGCATGCCTCCAGCGGCCCTTACTGTGCATGAAGATTCATGGTGAAGACTAGCGGCGTGACATCCAAAGGGAATGTCACACCACCAAAAACGTATATATAAAAACATTATGCCGAATATCAAGGGGACAAGAAGGAGGACTAGGTTATAAAAGCAGAGGTTAAATTTCCATTTCAGTAAGGCAGGCCTGCGACTGTGTGACTTAATCATAAAAGGGAGATGAGGTGGGGTCTGTAGAAGGGTCAGCAAAGTCGAAAAGTTACTACTAATGCAAATACTGATTTAGTGTATTCCTCCATAAACGTATGCTCCTTGAACCATGCCGTGAAGAGCAGCGCCCCCTACAGACCACACAAAAAAAAAAAAAAGACTTAAGCGAAGATTCGCTTAGAATTGGTCACCTATCATGTGCTCTCCTATGAGATTGTTTGCAGGCACGGTGTCTGGGAACAGAGTCCGTATTGGGTTATTTTTTTTGGTATCGTGCTAACTTAGCAATCAATCTGGAGATTCCCTATTTCTATTCAATCACCACTTTCCATAGCAGTCCAAGCAGTGACACAGTGCTTAAAACGTCACACCGAAGAAAAAGAATATCTGCTTACATGAAGAACATCTCACATTTAAGTTCCTAGAAAAATAGCCCTGTGTAACTTAAACATAATGCTCTTTTCCCTCATTTTACCCAAATACAAGAACAAATTCAAATAAATTAAACACCTAAAGTCTCAGAAAAACACCCACCCTATACAGACATCTTGGATACATTCAACAACACACTCAATGCAATACTTCCAGATCACACAGAAGGGCGCCCCCTGCAGGGCACTCGGTCGCCGGACACAGAGGAACCGCGTTTATTTACACGCATGTGAGTGTGTGCAGATGTGCTTGCGCAGCTCAGCTGATGCAGTCGACTTTGCCGCAGAGGCCTCTGGCGCGTTACCTCATAGCTCAAGGAGCGATTTTGCCAACACAGGGAGGGACCCACATCACTGCAATTCTTGTGGGGGGAAAACAACAACAAAAAGAGAAAAAAGATCCTTCTGTTGGCCTGAACTGTAAACAAAAACAAAAAGACCAAAAAGGAATATTGCCGTGACATTAAACTGTATTCGTATGTCCTGGTGTCTATAAGTAAATATTGTAAAATGCCTTGAGACCATTTCAACACTTTCCTAATCGTTTGCGGCTTTTTTCTATAGAATTACATCTTTCCAACAAAAAAAAAATAAGGAGGAAGGGTAATATGCACATTTCAACGAGAAAGAGCAGCAGAGGTTCAGTTGAGGCCGTCGTCCAGGATCTCTTTCACGAAAGAGGCGACATCTGTTTCCTTGGAGTCGTGAATTTTGAAGAAGAGATGCTCCTATGGGGGACAAGCAGCGTTAGACCCACAGCCAAACGGCCCTAACCCTAAACCTAACCCTAACCCTAACCTCACGCAACATTTTTCAAGAGATTTTAATTTAAAAATGCATATTCCTGTGTACATTCAAGCTTACCATGAGTTCAAGGTAGTTTAGTCTGTCTGCAGGATTCTTCTTCAAACTAAAAAAAAAGGCATTTATTTCATACATACATAAATATTCTATTATACAAAATACTATATTTTTCAGAGAGATTTAAAGTCAAACTTGATGTTTTACACTTCATAGTATTCACTGGACTCTGAAAGCGAGCGACTTGTGACAGCACTGAGCCGACCCCCTCACACTCAGGCGACGTGACGGAATCTGCTCACCAGCCATTGGTGAAGTCCACGAACTCCCTGGAGAAGCGGTCGGCAGGCAGCTGGGGCGATGGCTCCTCCACCACCTGTTTCAGCTGCTGGAAGGGCGTTCCCCACGACTCGTAGGGGAAGCGCAGGACGGCCAGCTCGATCTGAAGGCACAGGAAGCATGGTCAGCCAGGACGACCCCCCCTCCCGGCAGCAAGCCCTGCGTCCCGGTCAGTAAACAGGGCCCATTACCTCTGTGTGTGTGTGTGTGTGTGTGTCTGTGTATGTGTGTGTTGTAATCACTCACCAACGTAATCCCCAAACTCCACACGTCTGACTTCACATTGTACCCCTTCTGGCTCAGCTCTGGGTTGATCCTCTCTGGCTGGAGATCGGAGGGCAGCAAAAGGTCAGCTTCACGCGCTGCCCCCCCCACCCCCATGTAACACTGTTTATGTGGCTCCAAGGTTCCTATAAATAATCTGCCACTCAGTGTATCACCGAGGGGGGCTGATGTCCATGACCCGGCGGATGGCGGTGCCAGGACGTGTCTCGCACTATGGCGTGTGCCAGGACACGTCTCGCACTATGGCGTGTGCCAGGACGCGTCTCGCACTCACCGCCATGTAGGGCTTGCAGCCGGCATCCAGCGTCTTGGCCACGGAGTCCACCAGGTACCCGCTAATCCCGAAATCACACATCTTCACGTGACCCTCCTTGTTGATCAGCACATTGGAGGGCTTCACATCTGAGGCAAGGAACATCTTCATTTTAATAATGAAATTCTCAGCAATTTAATGTACAGGATTGACATTTAAAGACAGACAAAACAATTCCCCAGTCATTGATCACCTGTCATTCCCCAAACCACCACCAGAGGTCACTTACCTCTATGGATCACAGACAGCTTACTGTGCAAATGCTCTAAGGCTTTGACGATCTGAAAGGTAAATATAGAGAACACTGTCTGTACAAACAGTTAAAATGATACACATTAGTAAACATGAAGAGGCTCTTAGCTGTGCGTGCACTGACTCCACACCTAGATGTATCCATAAATCAGCAGGTTACCCAAGGCTCTTTACACTTACTGAGACGGCCATCTTGCCCAGGATATCCTCAGGAATCTTCTTCCCCTTCTCTATCACTTTTTTGTAGAATTTATCCAGTGATGTGTCCATCAGCTCCATGCATATCCACACGTCCCCCTGGTGTCCAAAGATGCGAGGCAAAAGGTATTCAGATTTCAGGTGATGACCTTGATCCGTCAAAGTCAATGCAAAACTTTCGCCAGAGCTCCAACCCATAAGGGAACCCTTATTTCCAGAGACTAAGAGTGTTTTCAGACGTGGTCCCTTTCAGCCCTCAAAACGGACTCAGAGGCATTAGTCAGCATTTTTGTGAACACTTCAACCAAACTCAGACCCCTCTGAAATGAACGGCACTTGGATCAACTCAGGTGGTGGTCTTGGTTTGGTTCACTTTAATTCCGTGTTGTGGTTCGCTTAACCTGTGCAGTGTGAACACAAAGCGCTCCAGGTTGGCGTCACCTTTTGCCACCGTATTTTAGACCTCTAGGCTTGCTGTAGACAGATAACATGCTACTGCACCGGGACACTCGAAAAAAGAAAGGACTGAGGCCACATCAAGCTGAATTGGACGAGAAACTAACTACTCTTTCAAACTCACAGCGCAAACTCAAAAAGAACCAAGTCCCTTTTCTGGTCCAAAACAGATCAAAATTAATACAAACAAAATACAGATTGAACATTACTTTCACTTCTGCCTGTGTAAAATTTCTGTTCCATTCTTTTTTGAAACCGGTGGAAATGCGGGCAGGTTCTCAAAAGGCACCAAGCAAGAACCAGCCCAGCACCGGCACCGGTTCCATGGAAAGTGGAAACAAGGCATAAGAGGACTGAGTCTGGTTCATTCAAAAAGGACCATATGTGAAAACACCCTAAGACCCAGATGCAGCCAGTGCTACCCCGGTTGTCCCTCCATGATGGTTCTCCTGAACATCGCAAGGAGGACAAACCTGGAATGTCCCCCACTGTGTGTGTTGCACATGTCAGAGCAGGACCCAGTCTCACCTCTCTGAATAAGGCCCCAAAGAAGGTGACTGTGTAGAGGCAGTCGACTGTTCGCATGGAGATGTCCAGGTCCATCAGTAGCCTCTTTTGCTCCTGACTGTTCACCGTGGCTCTTATCCTCTAGGGGGCAGACATCACACAATGCTGATACCATGCCATGCGACACCACCATCCTCATCCAGCCAGCATCACCTTCATTCGCCAGAAATCTGCGCACCAACCTGATGCTTCACATTGTTGGTCTAAATTCTTACCCAAATTCTTGCTGACAGACTACAAATAATTCTGAGAATTCCACTGCGCCCCCCCCCCCCATCATTTTAAATGTAGCATATGATGAAGTTAGAGAACTCCCTTATACTACACTATTAAAAACCACATTAAGGCAAAACTGCTTTTAGCATTATGCTAAAAATTAATTTAATCAAACAACCATTTGATAATTAGTTGTCAGAAATCAAGCTCATCTAGCAGGTTAAGCAAAATGTTTACTAGTAGTGCCAGTCTATGTTTAACAAATTCAGGATACTGGTGTCTGAACTATATGAAATATTAATTTCCAAAAAGGCTGGTGCTGAGGGCCATTGATTTAACGCTCACTGTTACGCTATGCAATTAAAATCATTAAAATGAAATTTGAATACTGTCACAATGCATAATTTTTTCATGTACAGTGGTACCTCAGAACTCGAATTTAATCCATTCAGAACTCCGGATCGAATCCTAAAAAGTTAGAGTTGTGATCGAATTTTCCCCATAAGAAATAATGGAAAACCAATTAATTGGTTCCCGGCCCCAAAAAATTACACCTAAATATGTTTTTTTTTTTTTTAGCATTTAAACACAAAATGAACCGGATAAAACAAGAAAAGCATATACTGTACTAAACACATCTAAGCACATTTATCAAAACAGTAATTTGTAAAGTAAGAAAATAAATGTATCCAAACAATGTGTTCTGCCCCGATCGTCCACTCCTTCCGTCTGCCACGCCCCCTCGTTAACCCTGTGTGGAATCCCTGTGTGGAATCCCCGTGTGATCAGCTGTTTCTGGTTGTTGTCATTAGTCCTCTGTATTTAGTCCACGTTTCAGTTTGTTTCCCCGGTCCGGTCATTATATTGTCCGTCTGCGTTTTGCCTGCCTTACCTGTAATTAAATCCCGTATTCCCCGATACCCTGATGTCTGCGCCTTTGTCTCCGTTCTGTCTCCGCTCGGCACAACAATATTATTATTATTAAATATATTAATGGTTTGTTATTAATATTAAAATAATTAATAGGAAATCTTTATTTTTAAATGTATTTTATTATATAATAATAATTATTGTTACTGTCTATCATTGTCTAAATGTATTTTTACTGTCTAAATATATGTATTCAGCTAGTGTAAACATGCACGATGCTATCACAGCGAACGCGAGGCTGAGACTGAAGCTTAACCCTTTGTTTCTGCTGAGAGACGTGCCGCGTGACTCATTTCCCCGCACGTACAAGTTATCTTAGGTCGGCGTTCATGGTTTGACTTCTGAAATTCAGATCGAGTTCTAGGTAATTTTTTTTTTTCCGAACTGGTTAGTTCGACTTAAGAAATTCGAGTTCTAATGAGTTTGAGAACTGAGGTACCACTGTATTCTTTTGGACATTTAGCTTTCTGTGGTTAAACCCATGAACCCTGACAGGAGCCACTTTCAGGGTGGAACGCGACACGGCCTCGCTTACCTTCACCGCCATGATGGTTCCGCTCTGCGCGTGCCGCACCTTTTCCACCACGCCGTAGGCACCCCGGCCCAGCTCCGACAGAGACACAAGGTCATCGGCCTGCACCTCGAAGTTCTGGGGGGGGGGGGGGGGAGTGATGCGTTACAGAGTGCTTGTGAAAGTCAACATTATTTTTACATCATGCTTTATTTATCATTTGCACAATAAGAATGAATGCAGGTACGCCGGATGGCTTTGTTTCACGTATCCCATCATGCCCTCCTGCCTGTGAAACAGACCTGGCCTGGGGGGCAGCCTGCGTCCTCACGTCAGGAGCGGACATGGAGCGACGACAGGCACAAAGCATCCAGCCCGTGTGTGTGTGTGTGCCCAATTGGCTTTCCTGGCATGTGCTCTCTGGGGAACATTCCACACGCTTCATTGCACGCAGAACCTGGCTGACCCCACCCCACCCCACGCAGCCACCCTGGGGGGGGGGGGCAGCCATAAGCACAGGAAAGTATGGGGATGTCATAAGTGACAGGTGCGTACGGAGCGTGGAATGCAGTGGCAAAGGCAAACGGGAATCTGGCATCCACGGGAGGAAAAGCCTAGGTCAGGGAAAGGCAGAGGGGCTGCAGAGCATGTCCAGGCTGCAGTTACCAAGGGGGTGGGGGGCAGCTGGCGGGAGGGAGACAGACCCGTTACCCGGAATGGCAGTGAGGCGAAACGGCCGCTATCACAAGCCATGCCAGAAAGACGGTACTACGCAGCAGTACCTCCCGCAGGTCTTCCACGACACGGGGGCCAGCTCAGAATGTACTGCTCCCCCCCGGCCAATGCTATCGTTGTCAGGGCTGTATGTATAAATAAAGCAGTAACTGAGTACCCCAGACATCCACCTAGCAGCCCTTATGCCAGTGCTGACATAGAGGCAGATGCGGGGGGGAGGGGCCTGAGACCAAAGTGGCCATATGACCTCATCTGCCCTGACTGCCTTTCACGCCGCTGCAGCATCCTCGCCAGCAGGGGGCACCACACTCACCTTGTCACCTATGGTGATGAAGGTCCTGGAGTCCAGGTTGTGAAGAGGCCTGCACACAACCAACAGAACAGGATAAAAATCAACACACAAAAACGTTATAGATTTCCAACAGGTTCAGACTGATTGGGATCTCCCAAAAGGGACTGGTGCTCACACTGTACCGGGAAGGATGCTTCGGAAAAGTAAACGAGGGTGACCGTACCTCAGAATGTGCATATTTGCGTCGCTGTGACACCTGTCCTGACACCCTAACCCCCTGGGTCCTCTTTGGAAACCAAAATCAACTGAATATTGGGAAAGTGATTCACCAAATTCACCCAATACAAGGGAAAGGATAAGCAGAGAAACCACAGACTCACACTGGGTTCGACTCTTTCTGCTTGAAGGCTTCATCTGGGATCTTCAGCCCATGTTTTTTCCGTTTCCCTTTGTGAAAGAAAAGAAAAAAACAGGCCTGCATTAAAAGCTGAAGGACTGGCACTGCTGGAGGACACCTTAGGTGATGTACGTGCCATGAACTCATTCACCTCTGACACATTATGCAACTTCCCAAAAAAAACAACAAGGAGGTAAGGATCTGCACTGCAGAATTACAAAATAAAAATGGTTACTTCAACCTCACTCGGAATTACTTTCATTACATGCATGCTTAAATAATAATAGTAATAATAATGATAAAATAATAATGATAAAATAATAATAATAATAATAATAATAATAATAAACCACCAACAACAACCTTCCTCCTGTGGACAAGAGACACACCTGTTCTGGTTTCTACAGATTTCACACGCCCAGAACATTGTTTCTGTCATTGCCCTAATCCTCCATAAACATTCCAGACCGCCGATTGCGTTTCCTCCAGCCGTCAACACGGCCGACAGCACCACGTTAACGGGCACCGCGGGCTCTTCCCCTCCTGCCCGTCCTGCAGCCCCCGGTGAGCGGCATGGGAGAGAGCTCACCGCGGCAGAACCGGCCATCCACACTTACGCCACTTTGTTTTTATTTCACAAAAAACAGAATCTGTGCAGTTTCTCTCCAAACTAAATGAAGGGATTCGAGTCGCCTGTCCCGAAATGGGTAAATGTAAATACACATATAACAAACTAGCAGCATTTCTCCATAAGCCCAAACACCATGCCTCAGGGTACCTGGATGCCTGATCCTATAGTATTCAATTACTTCAGCCATTATGATTGACTTTTTTTTGTAAGTTGCAAGTTGACATACAAGGAAGCGAAGATCATTCATAAAGTTACATATGAAAATGCACAGTCATTATATTACTACGGGTTGCAAAAAAAGTAGGTCAGGGAATTTGTTGTTGCATTCGTCATGATGCAAAGCGCGTGAAACGGCATGAAAAGGTGGTGATGCAGGTCCGCCTGCTCGGGTTTGGGCTTGGGCTTGGGGGGCTGCCGCCAGAGAGCCGCGGAGCACGGGAACGCGGTTTCCCCTTCGCAATCAGGGCACAGGCGACGGCATATATATTAATGTCTCCCTTCGGTATATCAAAAGCCTCCGTTAATACTCGCTATATTAAAAGCCTCGGTTAAATATAGCTGCGGGGATGAGCTGGATAGGCGGCCTGGTGCTATATTTAACAGCTGAGCCCCGGCAACACAGCTGATTTGCGAACTGCTCGGCGGACGGTTCCGCTTGCACAAGGCCCTGCCGTACCGGCCTGTGACTCACCGTGGCGTCCGCTTTCTGCCCCCCCATCCCCCCGCCCCCGCCCATCCTCACCTCCGCCTGCTGGACCGGAGCCACGGACGAGTCTGTAAAATCCTGCTCGCAGTTAGTCCCACACGGCGAGGTAAAAATAAAAACACGGTCCCTGGGAGACTTCCCTGGAAGACCGTCAGAAGCGCGAACAGCTTTCAAAATCAAAAATGCAAGCAGAGATCCTAACTTTTGAATGAATCAATGAATGAATTTTGCATTTATATACTGCTTTTCAAGACACCCAAAGCACTTTTCTTTCAATTAATAATTTTAACGAAACACGTAAATGCCTAAAACGTGCTTAAGATAAATAGAGCATGCATAAAATTAAATAATCGTTTAAACACACAAAGCTTTCGCGCCCATATAATAAAATGAAGTAACAGAAGGTGCAGGGCGGTGACTCTCGTACAGTATCTGTGAGTTTTAGAGGCCGGAAAAGATGTGGATTAATGAAAGAGGAAGAAAGCAGAGGAAGAAAGTAGCAGGGGTGGGGGGCGGGGGGGGAACCTCAACCATCTCACAAAACCTAAAGCTGGGAAAGAAAACCACTTCAAAAAAAGGTTTCCTTTCGCTGGAGCTCATTTGCATTTTGGTTTAGGTTATTTCAAAGGCTTTCTGAAGAATCAGTATGTCTCCTATGACGAAGGGCTGTGGGGTGGGGGGGTTTCAGGCACGCGGGCGTCAGTCATTCATTACGCAGCCAACGGTCAACACGTGTGCACAAGGAGCGCACTGTCCCCCCCCCCCGATAACGCACAAAGAGGGTTGTCTGATGACACGGCTGCAGTGGCTCAGCTCACGGACACTGACACTGACTGCCCTTTAAATAAGTGTGACTCAAGCCCAAAAAAAAGCCCTCAGCCTGTTATCAGCAAGTCCGGCAGTGCTGGGGGTCACGTGTGCCCGACCGGCCCGACGCAAGCCCCCCGATGCCCACCCGTACCACCCCCCTCCCCCCAACACGCTCGTGAGCCACATGAAGCCATGCTGACCTCAGCAGAAAAACGGGAACCTCCCCGAAAACCCAGCTCCAAGCTTATGGTCCAGAGACAGAGAACCCCAAGGGAAACAAAAATTAAGTAATTACCATTCATAGAAATTAACGTACCAAGAATGGATTCTTAATGCAGACAGCAACGGACGGACAAAAAAAGCAGCCTGTGATCACAACAGACTAGAGCAAATCAGAGAGGTTCACTCTGTCCCATTAGCAGCGACTGCATGCTGGGCAGGACGCGGCTGCCCTCCACCTCTCATGACCTCTGCTCCTGGCATTTTCAAACCTTTGTTATTACGCAAGTCAGACAGAGGTCCAGATGTGCCGACGACATTCTGGTGACTGTTAGATGGATCTCTGGGGGGGGGTTGAACCTACAGGCCGACGCTGCTTAATAGCCCAATTAACCCAGTGCTGTGAACTCCGTGAAAGCCAAGTGGCCAGCGGGCTTCGTATGGCGGGCATCGTTCCTGCATGTGCCGCCGAGACGGGTTTTCACGTTCGGGCATCCTCTCCCGATGAGGATCGGACTCATGCAGCAACCGACACACTTCTCATTTGAAAACCCCAACATGACTATTAAATGGAACGTTATTAAAAAATAAACACAGTTTCGATATCTAGTGTCACCAGAATTGTTTTCCCCTGGTTCCCTGACATCATTCTTTTATTTTTCCTCTTTATTTCCACCCCCCCCCAGGCCTCAGCCACACGGGGGCGTGGACCTCCGACTCCCACACTCATGCAAACAACTGCTCAGTCACGCAATCCCGGCTCTGCTTTTATATACTGCCATCTGATTTGGTTGCTATGACCACGGGCAGCCGTCCAATCGGGGGACTCAGCGATATAATAAAGGGGGTGTGCGTGGAGCAGACAGGAAGTGCAGATACCTGCTCCTGTTTACTTTAGACGTATCGGCTGGGTTTCTCAACCTATGACTCATGGACCTGTGACTGCGATTCGTGGACGGCCCGTTCCGGGTAGTCCGCCTGTTCCCGGCTGTCTGGGCATCCGTCTGCCCAGCCCTCCGTCGTACAGGCAGGAGAGGGGGCACACGCTCCCCCACTACCGGATGCCGGTGAGCCTCGCAGAGCTCCCGTCCCGGGAGACGGTCCAGGCCATCATGTACCCTTCGGCAAACATCCAAGACAACCAGCTGGAATGATTGGAAGCCAGAGTGAGAGTCTTCGGATGAGAGCATCCGGAAGGCAGGCATCTGGCGGGGACCGCGCCGGGCGAGAGGTAAAGGGACGGGTGCAAGAAAAAATCCGCAACATACGTGACGGCGGCTCCTGAATCACCGTCTTGTTAATCTAATCATGCAGCTCCCTGTATACAAGGTAAGCATGGAGCCTGCTTTGAGTACAAAATTACATTTAAATTACATGCAATCATTTGTAATGAAGCTTTTAAGATATCTGAATTAATCTTTGTTTTAATGCAAATGCAATCTAACACGCTTCCATCACCCAGACACAATAACAGACAGTAACAAAAACAGCAAGTAAGTCATTCCCTGAATCTGTCTCTCTGACCCCCAGAGCAGCAGAAAGACAGCAGCTGACCACCTTCCAATTGTCACTATTATTTCTTTTCTTAGCATCCCCCCCCCCCAACCCAAGGCAGACAAAAAGCACACGTCACTGGTAGGTAATTGTTCTATCCTTTCCCTCGTTGACCTGCTCTGTGACGTGTGTATGCATTAATGAATTTTTACAACCGAGAGCTCTCTCTTCCATAATGCGCCATCTGTTGCAGGGGGTGTGGGGC